AGACACTGTCTCAAAAAAAGAAAGAAAAAAGATATACAGTGCCTGAGAAATGATACCTGAGACTGCCCTCTGGCCCCCACATGCACACACGGCACACGCATGCACACATGCACACACACACACAGCTTGGGAGGTAAAGTGCCCTGATGTTGCCTTCATTTCTCTTGAGTAGAAGAGAAAGCATAAGAATACTAGAGTGCTGAATCTAGATCTTATTTTTCTATTCTGTTCTGTCTAGATGCTTGCTTTTTAATTCTTTCTACACATTTCAATAAAGCAGTATTTGTCAATATTTATGTTCTTGCAGCCAATCTTCTGGGAAATTGATGTGCTGACTGGAAATGAGGAAATGTTAAAACCAATATAAAAATAGTCTTCAAGGCAAAATGTCAAAGTGAAGAAGGAATTTGCAGTTCTGTGGTCCTCTCATTTTATAAGCATTTATGTGTGAAAGGTCCAGTCCACAAGCAGCATATGACATAGTATTTTGTCGACTGACTGGTGCTTGACTATGATGGAACATTCTGTTGCAGACCTTTTGCTTGCCAGGCAGATTGCTTGTTATCATTAGGAGGTCCTTGACTTTTTTAACCTTGGCTCTGTTGTCACAGTAAAGATTTATGAGGTGTCCTGGTGTTCCTGCTACCATGTTGGAGTCTTTTCTTCCAGTCTCTTTGTTCCCACCCTCGACTTCCTCATACTTATCTACCAGAGTCAAGTAATCTGAGCCAGAGGAGAAGAAAAACAATGGAATAGCATGCCTTGCATGTCTTAGTAGAGATCACATACTATTTTAGGGATCTTAGAATTAGAGGTCCTTTTTGTTTGTGCTGTACTGAGGAACTCTCTAGGAAATTCCTTTGACCCTTTGGTCAGTACCTTATAGTACTGTAGGATCTCTCTACAGAAAAGCAGAAAGATGACAGAAAAGCAGCAAGATTTTTCAGACACTGACACTCCCTTTGGTAGAGCTGAATGCTGCCCCACTGCCTTCAGAGAAACTCCATTCTACTCTTCCGGCATCTTTCTCTTTAGGTGCCATTTCAAAACAGTGAGGCCTTTGGAACTATGTCCTAAGTATCTGCCTCCATGTACTCTAGTGTAAGTACAGCTGAGCAGACTATGTGCCAAAGAGAAGGGGTCAGGGCTAAGTCCAAGCAAGAATCCAAATCTTCATTGTTATTATGTGCTGGGGCCCAAGCTTGAGCTGATAGTTTTTGAGACATGAGCCTGACCAGCATATAAATTGCAATCTGGGATTATAGTAAGTACCTCAGAAGAACCTTCTAGTAGGTTTACAGTAATGTGAAAGCCAAGACCACAGATGTTAAGTTGCACAGTACGCCAGGCGGTGATGGCAAACGCCTTTAAACCCAACACTCAGGAGGCTGAAGCAGGCGGATCTCTATGATCAAGACCAGCCTGGTCTACAAAGAGCTAGTTCCAGGACAGCCTCCAAAGCCACAGAGAAACCCTGCCTTGAAACACCCCCCCCCCCAAAAAAAAGTTGCACAATACAAATAGTTTTATTCTAAAGAGTATTATGACCATTTGCCAGTAGGTCCGGTATTATACTAGGCATGAACTCTTGTCAACCCACCTTCCTCTTTTCTCTTTCTTAATTGACCTTTTCTTCTCCAAACACACTCATGCTCATGCCCACCCGCCCACCCGCCCTCCCTCTGTCTCCACCCTCTTTCCCCTTATTAAAAAATGGAAAGCTGACATCAGGAGAGATGGCTTAGAGGTTAAGAATACTGACTGTTCTTCCAGAGGACCCAGATTTGATTCCCAGCACCCACATGGCAGCTCACAACTGTCTGTAACTCTTACATATGATGCACAGATGTGTGTGTGTATAGGCAAAACACCATTGTAGTTTAGCTTTTTATTTTTCCCCCCTTTGGTTTTTTTGAGACAGAGTCTCATATAACCCAGGCTGGCCTCAAACTCACTATGTAACTGAGGATGCCCTTAATTTTTTGACCCTCCTGCCTCCACTTCCTAAGTGCCAAGACAAAGTATTCACCAACCACACGTGGTGCAAGTTTTTATAATTTGGGTAAAATTACAAAGCAATGAAATCTCAAATCTTAAGTTTTTATTTGATAAACTTTGACAGACGCATACAAATATATAATCCAAACCATCCTCTTAATGTAGAACATCATTATCACCCTGGGAAATTCTCACATTGCCTTCTCTGTCAACCTCTGTCCCAACTCCTGTCCCTAAGAGACAACCACTATTCTGACTCTTCTCACAATCCACTAGTTTTGCCTATTCTATAGTTTCCTCAATTAGTCACACTGTGTGTCCTAATGACCTCCACTGAGCATGTTTTTAATGTTCATTCATGTTGTCCCATGTGTCAGTAGTCATTAGCTGTAGTGTGGAGTGATTTCCCATTGTAATCCGGGCATGTATCACAGCATTTCTGTCCATTCTGCTAATGGACAACAATTAGGTTGTTGCAGTGTTTGCCTTTTGTCAATAAAATATTTTATAAATATCGACTTAGAGACATATGCTTCCATCTGGTGGAGAGGGACAGAGGAATTGCTCTGATCATAGGCTGGGAGTATGTTTTTTGTGGTTGTTTTTGGTTTTTTGAGACAGGATTTCTTTGTAACAGCCCTAGCTGTCCTGCAACTAGCTCCGTCGTAGACCTGGCTGGCCTCAAACTCAGAGATCCTCCTCTCTGCCTCCCAAGTACTGGGTTTAAAGGCATGTACCACCACCACCGGGCAGGAGTATGTGTTATAAGAAACAAACCCACTTTTTTCCAAATGGCTATCATTCCAGCATTTCATGTTACAGCTGTTCATTCCATATCTTCACCTACATTTGGTGATGTCAGTTTTATTATTTGACATTTTAACGGATGCAAATATATATGGTTTCCAAAGAAACAGAAAACTGCACACGCATACATGCATGTGTGAATATATGAAGAGATTCATCACAGGAACTGATTAACATGATTTATGATACTGAGGAATCTGCTGTCTGCACACTGGAAATCATGAAAGCCAGTGGCATTTCTTTGCTAATTTTTTTTTCTAATGGTGTTTCCAGAAATAATATTTAGCCAAATATCTGGGAACCCTATCACCCAGTTATGGGGACACACACACACACACACACACACACACACACACACACACACACACACACACACACACACACACACACACACACACACACACTGGGTTACCCCTTGACTCTGGAAGAGAACCTCAGAGGCCAAGTCCAGAAGAGAGTTGATGAAAGAGAAAGGAATTAGAAAGGAATTAGAAAGGAATTAGAACTTCTGGGCCTTTCTGTGCCCTTCTTCAGGAGGCATAACTCAAACTTCAGTTCATCAGTTGATACTTTGTGCATTGGGTTTTTGAAAGGGAGAAGGTATGGAGAAAAAAATATATGTCTTTGTGCTTGAAGAAAGTAGAACCTATGGTATAGAAATGTTTGGAGAGGCCAGGAAGTGGTAGCACATGACTTTAATCCCAGCATTGGAAAGGCAGAGGCAGGTGGATCTCTGTGAGTTCAAGGCCATCCTGGTCTACATGGTGGGTTCCAGGACAGGCTCCAAAGCTACAGAGAAACTCTGTCTCGAAGGAGGGGTGGTGGTGTTTGGAGTGTCCCCATGATATCTTTGTCACCTGTCACCTGTTTGTAATAAATCCCACTTAGTCAGTTCATGTAGCCAAGTCCTGTTTTATTGTCAGTAAGCATCACAGGATGCCAGAGGAAAAGTTGGCTCTGGTTGGTGTCTGGGAACTGCCTGGTAGAACAAAACTGAGGTGGTACCCTTGGAGCTTCCAGCTAAGAGGTGCCACGTCACTCCTCTGTACAGAGAGGAGGCCCCTCTAGGGTGTGCAGCTCCCTTCACCCTGGTTGCTTCTTTTGATTACTCCACCTTTAGATGATTCCAAAGACAGACAGAACTGGGGCAGCCATTAAAATAGCGCATCAGCATTGGGAGGGTGGGGGGAGAAACTGGAGCAACAAGCAGCCAGCTCGTGGTCCTGCCCAGGAAATCAGGTCTTAAAGGAGAAGGCTACAGTTTGGGAAAATACATAAATACATCTGTGCCCAAAGTGTAGAGATTCTTTACTTACACTGTAGAATATTTGCAAGGTGGGTTGGGAGCCCTCTAGAACCTCATCCTTACCTGGTGCTGTCCTCAGACTAGAAAGCCAGGTTCGCCTGCCCCAGGAAGAAGCTTTTTAATTCACATGACTCGGAGCTTTCTTGAGGCCACTCTTGGTTCACCTGCTAGTGTTCCTAGCCTGACATTGTGAGTGGGCTCGCTTGACCTGGCCCAATACAGACTCACCTTCTCTTGGCTTGAGTCTCTGATTCCCGTTTAAAAGGGCTCTTGTAGAAAAGAAGCAGCTGGGCTCTGGAGGATCAGTCCCCTTTGCTTTTCTGGCAGAGAAAGGAGAAAAACTGGATCTCCATTATGCCCTCTGTTGGCTACTCTTGATTGAATCTTGTAGCAATATTTGCATGATAGAGCCACCAAGCACAGGATCAGGCCAGTGCACATTAATGCACTCCTTCATTTGAGACATTAGCGGAACAGGTCAGGGACCAGCAGGATAAGCCATCGCCTCTGCCTCCATGCACTGACAGGAAACAAGTTACTTAGCCATCGAGCTTTAACTAGTGGCAGTGGCAAATGTGCCACCCAGCCATGTGCCAGATGGGGGCTGGGAGAAGCTCCAGGAGCACTTGGCAGGGGGCATCTTGAATAGACCACCTGTGGTTTTCTCTGGAAGGAAAATAAAGCTTTTAGCCACTCTGAAGCACTGCTGAGACCTCGGAGGAGGTCTCAGAAAGTCATGTGCCTTGGTTTCCCCTGCAGACCTTTGGTTTATCTTAGTTTGCAAGGCTGATTTTCATTCAATGCAAACTTCCTTCCAAAATGGGATAAAGGTTCCAAGAAATTTTAACCTTCAGATAGTTCATAAATATCAGTATTTGTCATTCCATAGGGCTGTTGGTGCTGAATCAAGACTGGACAGATACAAGAAAAGATTGGGGCAGTAAAGTGGTAGAATCCGTCTTGATCATCGGATGACCTTTCAGGAAAGAAGGTGGGGACATTAGCTTTTCCCCCTTAGCTCTCCATTTCTTTTCTTCCCCTCTTACCTTTTGCCCTTTATTTTCATATGCAAACGCAGAATCTTACAACCAGTGCTGCAGGCTCTATGCCAAGTAGAATGCTGAATTCTGGAGTGCTAGCCTTCTACATTGACAGAATTCCTAGGGGGGAAAAAAAAAAAAATATATATATATATTGATTTGAAGACCTGTCTGTTTGTTTGCTGCTGAACACTTCTCCTGTGCTGGTCAGCCAGTGGTACAACAGGCTCCTGGCTTGTGGCCAGACTTGCTGGGTGTCAGCACTTGCTTTCTGGCTCTGTTAATGTTGAACAAGTTACTTGAGCTTTTGACCTTCCCTGTGTTTTTATGAAATAGAGTTAATATAGTAGCTGCCTATTGGCAGTACTTACACTGTATAATAAATAAGAAGCTGTGTAAAACACTGTGGCGGTCCTTACAAATTACTCAGTAAGTGCAAAATACTCCTTAACTATTACTATATTGCAAGAGGAGACTTGTTTCCACATTGGCAGGATGGAAAGTACCTCTGTTGGGACCCATCAGAATCTATGTGGCTATGCCCTTCTTGGTCTGCGAGTATTTCTACTTAGTCTTGGTCTTATAACTAAGTCCTTCCTCTAGCCCTCTGTTCCTTCCTCATCATTTATTGCTCTAAGCCCAATGATGATTGTTGTTCTTTTAAGATCTCGCTAGATGGTACACGAACACAAGAGATACATTAACCAGTTTATTAAATGGGGGAAGAGCCAGAGAGAGATTGATGAAGAGGGTAGGGCAAGAGAGAAGGGGAAAGGGAGTGAAGGGCCAACCCCGTGGGGGTGCTCACTTAAAAGGGGAAGCTCTTATGCAGCCCCGTAGCGATGATGTGACCACACCACTGTGCGTGCCCCGCCTGTTGTCAGGGGGCGGGGTCAGCATGGTGTTGAGTTCCAACAATCTCACCTCTTATTGTTAATAAAAAGGTGAGGAGTTGGGCATGGCAAGTTAGGGAATAAGGGTGTCGAATTCTCAAGACTGCTCCCTGCTGACGTGGGGGGCATTGACCATCTTTGGGGAACCTGAGAAAGCTGAGGTGCTGCCATGTCCTGGGGTAGCTGGTTGTTTCATCGCAGTCCAGGCTGTGTGAAACTCTCTGGCACCTCTGTAGACCTGGCAAGATGTTAGTAGAGGAGAGGACAAGGTTAAGTTTAGGAAAAAATTTTTTTTCTTAGGTCCTGGTACTTGAGGGGAGGATTGTAAGATGAGGGAGGGGTTCTGAGGGATCCCAAGATGAGGGAAGGGAATCCAGGACCAGGGAAAGATTGAATAATATCTAGAGTGGATCTGACATGTTTGGGTGGGTCCAATTTGGCTCCCTGGAACTACAAGAATCCTTAGAGTTTGTGAAATCGTAAGTATTAGACACATTAGCAGAATTTTTATGTTAGAAGCAACTTGGCTGAAAGAATTAACATTTTTAAAACTGACATATTTTTAGCATAATAAAAAGTACCTTAATCTTGACCTTGCAGTTATGATCATATAGTTGTATAGTTTAGTGATTTGTACTCTGTCAGAGTTGGATTAGTAGCTTATCAGAACTTTATTGATTAATGTTAAGACTATGAACAGTAGCATAATGAGAAAGAGAAATCTGGAACATGTTTCATTCTTTTGGATGTCTCAACTCACTTTATGTGTCATCATTTAAGCCTTTTTATCCTCAGACCTTCATAACTTTAATTCATATACCTTACATTACCATCTTCATATAGATAAACCTTAAAATACCTTTTCCTGAAGTCTGTTTTGTGATAGTTGGAGCTTTGCCTGTTGCTTTAAGCTGGCAAAGCTACCAGTCATCAGAGTTCTTGAGGATATAATTTTACCTTAGTTAATGATTAAAGAATAACAGAGACTTATTAGCTGGTTGCATGGACAGCCACCCCCAAGGTCCTCCATAGTTGTTGAGGGCAAAGGCTTTAAGGACACCTGCCTTCTGCTGATAGCATGGCACCTGTGGATTAAGACCTTTACAAAGACTTGCCTGCCGTTGGCCCAAGCAATGTGGACAAAGTCTATTCCATTGTCCTCTTGTCCACGGTCTGAAGAGTCCTTTGCAGCAGTTGAGGTGAAAGGTAGGGTTGCTCAGTGACTAGCGTTGCCCCTTTTGTGGGTGGAGTTTCTTCAGTGCCCACCAGTCTTCTTGGAGGAAATGTGGGGCCAGCTCCTGGCCTGTCTCTCTGTTATAATAAAGCTTTTTAATAAAACATTTTAAAAGCCATATTCTCTAGATCTCTCAGCATTTGAGAGCAGTCTGTCTGTTTAGTATATCTCAGCAGACAAAATTTGTCTTTAGTTACTTGCCTTAAGCACATAGGTGGCCACAGATTAGTGTAGGATCCATCTGGAGAACTGGATTGAAGCTGAGAGGCTGTGAATGTTTTAATTAGAGCCCTCTAGCCTGACTGTAATAGATTTTAACTTAGTAGGTTAGAGTTACACCTCTAAAGGACAAAGTAGTAGAGAAAAATCCATTTTGTAATAGAAGTTTTACCTTTGTAAACAACTTACAGGAAGGACTGGGTGTATAAATATTTTGTTAAGTTAAAATAGACCTTTATAACTTTAAATGTTTACCATCATTTAAAGATGTGTAATCTCTGATCCATATGTTGTAACAAACAGACAGGAGAGACAGAGTATACTTAAAACTACCAGTGACAATGTTAGACCCCCGGAAAACTCAGGTATCTGGGGTCCCAGGCCACGACCGTGGTCACCCCAATCACCAGGCAGATTCGAGAGCTTGCTGCAAACTGCATGAGGCTTTATTGTAATTTAACGAGCTAACCCATGTTAGCTCGGGTCTTTCACCCACTTGCCACGGCGAATGGCTAGCAAAGACAGCTCGAACCCGCTGAGTACAGATCTTGTAGAGCAGCGTAAGGGGAGTGTCTAGGGGTATGCACAGGCTCACTATTGGTGCGCCTCCAGCCTTGGAGGGTTTGCCCTGTGTTGATTGGCCAACTGGTTGTTATGGCCCATAGGCCCTCCCAGGGTGGTTGCTATGCTCTGTGTCATTGCTGTGTGCTTGTCCATAAAGTACACCCAGGGTCGTAAAGCATAGCACCACCAGCTAACTTCTGATTGGTTCCTTGTCACAAGGCAGGCTCTGACTTTCTAGTGTCCAGGACAAGGTCATACAAGCACATGTTCGGCCGCTATGACTACTGAAAGGGGAGCTGGTCCCTTCAACAAGAAAGCATATCCCATGCAGATAGAACAGGGGGTCCTGGAAAGGCACAGTATTCCATAAACAAGCCATGCACAACAGGGCCAGTGAAAGAAGAAATTAGAGATAAAAATAAAAGGCAAAGGTAAATGAATTGTATCTGTCAGCAGGGTTTGTTGGCAGGAGCTGGCTAGACTGCCAGCTGCCTAGGCATGGAGTAGGCAGACCCACGGCTTGGTCACGTGGTCAAGATGGCTGCTTCCATAGCATGTTCCCAACCTAGGCCACATGGCCAAGATGGCAGCTGCCATAAACACGATCCTGTCTGCTGGCAGAAGTGGCTTTTTTCTCCATGAGTGAAGCAGAAAGATGTGTGAAACAGGTCATTAGTGTCCAAGTGGCATAACATCCAAACAAAAAACAAACAAACAAAAAAAATTAGACCACCGTAGGTCTGAGAAACGAATGCACCAGTCTACAGATAGTGTTAGGGTACAAAACCCGAAGACCTCAAACCTCATGGGGAAAAAATGAAAAATAAAAAACTCTCAGAACGTCCCAAGCAGATGCTGACCCAGGCCAGCTCACTGTGAGCCGATGGCATCTGCACGGAGAAGAAACAGAAGGGCAGCAGAGAAAAATAGTAACTCCTTTCATTTACCTGTCCGCTGGCAGTAACTGGAAAGGTTCCGTAAAATGTAAGCTCCCGATTTGAAGTGTATTTCCCATGGGTGAGGTCGAAGATGGCTCAGTACAATCTCAGAACTCGTCAGCCTGAGAATGCGGCCAAGGGTGGGAAAGCCTGAAAAGTGATAGGACACATAAGTCGGAAAGGCAGCGAGAAGAAACCTCGGAAACATACCACTCAGCGAATGCGCTGATGCTGCAGTGAACGGGCAGATGAAGAGTGGGTTGGAGAGCAGGAACCCCGTGTCTCCAGCAGCTGCCAGCAGGCAACGGGAGAGATCACGGGGAGAGCCTGCCAGGTTTCACAGCACCAATATTGTTCTTTTGTTTAAGATCTCGCTAGATGGAACACGAACACGAGAGATACATTAACCAGTTTATTAAAGCGGGGAAGAGCAAGAGAGAGATAGAGAGAAACGGAGAGGGGAAGAGAAGAGAAGAGAAGAGAGCAAAGAGAGCGTAAGTGGGTGGGGGTCTGTCTTTTAAAGGAGTCCTTTACACCTGCGTGCAGACTAGTACTCATGGAACCCTGGGCTGACCAGAGTACTGCCTGAGTTCATTCTGCCAGGTAACAGAGGTAGGCCAGCATAATGTTTGAACTTTTCAATGATGTTATCTTGTTCAATCTTTGCAAACATGAGATCAGTTCCTCCATTTTTTTTTTCAGTAATAAAACTGGGGGCCAGGAAGGGATATATTACTTGCCAAGGTCTTAAGTCTAGAAAACCCTGGTCATCTTATAATTTCTGCTAGCATAAAAACAGTTCCTAATTAATTCATGGGCCTTGTAAAATAAGTTAAAACTAAAGCACTGAGAGGCATGGACCCTGTTTTAGTTAAAACATGATTCTCCCCGATACGCTGCTCTTAATCTACCAGAGGTAATATTTCCCAGCTCACCTCTTTCTCAAAATCCCATGGCCAACTTTTTCTTCCCTGATGGAAAGAACTGTGGACTGAGACCTAAGAAGACCCAGCATAGTCTCAGCTCTACTGTCTCAGCATGTGACCTCACTCTGCTCTAAGGCCTTCCTGGGGCCTGCTCCCTCTTCAGTATAATGAAGAGATTGCTCTAAACCCAAGAGCCTCACTCAGATACAGGACTGTTGTGATGCTGATTCAGGCATTATCTGAATCTTCTCGGAAGTGATGTGGGAAGGGTAAACTTTTTCTATTAACAGGTCACTCGAATGCCTCTGTGTCTTTGCCCAGCCTGGGGTTGGAAGGCCGTTCTGGTGCACCTCCTTCCATATCGCTATAGCTGCAGGCCTCCACCTCCACACAGTGCTAACATAGGGAGTACAGCAAACAAGTATTTTCTGAGCCATTTAAATTCTTAAGAAACCTTGTTCTTTGGAGTTGGAAACATCAGAAAATCTTTTGTAAACACACAGAACTTAGGTTGGAAATGAATTGTCTTTATTCTAAGACTGGGGTTTTATTCCTCGTCTCTTCATTCCGTATGTGACACTGGATCTGCACATTTCTAAGCTGGCTTAAAAAATAAGCAGCCTAGTTCTGCCAGAAAATTAGGGACAATGTGGCCTCATCCCT